GAACAGCTGAAATAATCCTTCTGAGATTGTCTCTAAATTCATCTAGAACAATTTTAAGCAACTATCTTGACGACATCTGATAAAATAAATTTGGGACTTTGAGTTGTTTGGTCAACAAGGCAGAAAGTAAGCTCTGAAGCATGGAGGTGGCAGCATCATGATACGGCACTGCTTTGCTCCACAGAGTCAATTCAATTCAGTTTATTTCTATAGCGCCATTTCACAACACATGTATTCCCAAAGCACTCTGCAGTTCAACAGATCATACAGTCAAATTGATTCAAAGTTTTCTATCTAAGGAAAACCAGTTGATTGCATTGACTCAAATACAATCCCCCACTCTAAGCATGCTTGTAGCGACAGTGGAGAGGAAAAACTCCCTTTTAACAGGAAGAAACCTCCAGCAGAACCAGGCTCAGTGTGAGCGGCCATCTGCTGAGGCCGACTGAGGTTCAAGGAGACAGAAGCAGAGATACAAAAAACAACTGTTGAATAATTAAGGAGGACAAAAAATCCCTCAAATCTCTTTTAAGCAGTTTGGTACCGACACCTTTAAGCCAGAACCTGAAACTTACCGTAGTTGATTATTTATGAACGATCATGAACGTGTAAAAAAGTTGCACAGAATCTAATGCTATTATTAAAAAAAATGCTCAGATTTTTTTTTTACCTCTAACCACCTGAGAGACTTGAAAGGAAAGATTTTCACTGCTGTCTCCAGTTGGACTCCTGGTGGATTGATGAGCTGCAGTGAGAGAAATAAAATATGAGCAAACGGGCTTTGTTTAGCTCTAAATGGCATCGATTTACTTTAGCAAGAAGAGGCACAAGAAAATAATAATAATTTCACATTTTCTCCTTTTCTTTTTCACTTAACTTGCAGAAATAAAGAAAAAAAGGGAGAAACTATTTGTATGTTTTTGCCCGTTTTAAACACAAGGGGGCAGTGTGGCGCTGAGTGGTCCCTGTCCATTGATTTTCCAGCTTGTTTTCAAACACTTAAAGTGCTTTTTCTGACAAAGTTCTCAATAGATTAGATCATAGGCTGCAAAAAAGTAAAAGATTAAAATAGCAACAACTATAACAGGTTAAAAAAAAAAATCCAGAAAAGGTAAAAGATCAGCGATTAATCCTTAATCATGATCTGATCCTGATCTATATTAAAAAATAAATAAATGTAACATAAAATAAGTTGATGTAATACTTATTTATCTAATAAATTATTCAAATATCAAACATACAATTTGGGTGTTAGGGGTAAAAAAAAAAAAAGCAAAATTAGCTCTTCTTTTTCTGATTTTGAAGAATTTACCCAAAGGAAAACTTTTGCGTTGAATCCTAATTATACCCAAAATGAAACAGGAAGTAAATGAAAATGGAAAAAAAATAAAATCAGAATCACATATTTTGTTAATAAAAGGGATTTTTTTTTTTTTAGAGCCCCACCTTTAGGGAGATGGTCTTCTGCAGCACGTCGAAGAGGAACTGCAGCTGCAGCAGGGAGGACGTGTCGGCCGGGTGAGAGGGCAGCGCCAGGAAGCCATGCTGCTGGCTCCTGGACAGAAGGTGCTGCTCAAAGAGCCGCGTGAGCTGCTGCAGCGAGCAGGCCGGGAGAGTCAGCGTGCTGCTGCCATCCAGCACTATGTCACCTTTTATTACGGAGAAAACAACTGTTCATCCAATCTAATCACATTATCTCCTAAAAACAGAACAACTCACCAATGGGTTAAAATTGAAATTTGATTTTATTCGACTGCTCTTCTTTTTTAATCTTTTATACAGCATTTATGAAGATTTCAAGATGTCAATGTGTAAAAGAAAATTAAAAGATTAAAAATGTTTATTATCTATGAAGTTAAGGTGAAACCTGATTCCTCTCTTCATAGGTCAGTATTGGTAGCCTTTATTATGACTCAGTAGCCATGAAGAGGCTCTAAGCCTTTAAAAGGTTGGTGACCCCTATAGAAGGTAGTCCTGACCCTGGGCTGCTTTGTTCAGCTGCTAATAAGGTTTTTTCCTTTTGTTTAACTTTCAAAAAGAAAGTCTCTTTGCTGCACTCAGAGAAATTACACCTGACCAAGTGTTTTTTTTTATTTTTATCAAACATTACGGGCTAACAAACAGGTAAAAAATAACAACAGAACAGATAAAAAAACTAAGCTTTCTTTTTCTCTTCTTTTAATTTAGGCATTTAGCTCCTGATTGCCATTATTAGTTTCCTTTTGTCTAATATTATTTTATTCTCTCCTAAGCTCACAGATATTTTGCAGAGAAGTGTGACAGAGAAAGAAATATAATAAAATAAAATAAGAAAAAAAAAATAATTTAGACATATATATTTTTTCTATTTATTAATTTTTCGACTTTGTTGACATCAGTTGACCAAACTGAATGCGGTTTATAATGATTGAATATATTTTTTTATTTTTGTCAGTAGGTTTTTATCTATTATTGATTGTTCCATTGATGTCTGTTGTGTCAGAAGACAGAAGTCATTGTGATGTAATGATCTTCTTTCCTATTTTTCTTGTTAAAAAGTTTTGTTTTCTTACGCCCCTGTCATACTATGACGATTTAGCCAGACCCAGAATCTTCTAAAACACTGGCGTAGGCTGAACTTTCTATGTATTTTTCAATTTTTTAGATAAAGTATTTAAAACGAGTCCAGAACTTATGTCCAACGACAGCCTAACTTATGCATAACGTGCAATAGCGTAATGCCCATGAAATGATGCACAAGCCAGTGTCCTGAGGGGGGCAGCAACGCGCCTGCAGACGCCCGGTCCGCATAAAAAGATGTCTTTGATCACGTATTAACATAGCCCACCCGCTGATCGTGGTCGTGAACACAGGGAGAAACCATCACCTTCTCGCTCGCCCTATGATGGGGACGAAGTCTGGAGGAGTACAGACGGTTTCCTCCTGTGAACCCCTTTTTATACCGAAACGTTGCCAATACGCCATTAAACAATAGGTGTAAGTTAGAAATGCGTTCAGCGGTCACCTGGAACACGTCAAATACCTTGATGTTCGTTGGAGATGAGTTCTTGATAAGTCACGCATAAATTACTCATAGGTTTTGGATAAGCTAGACACCACAACTTATGAGTAGCTTAAACTTAACCTGTGTCAACGATCAGATTACTTACCTGTAACTTATGGCCCATATATCAAAGTGTTTCAGCACGTTTCAGCGCGTTTCAGCGTATTTCAGAGCATTTCAGCGTATTTCAGAGCGTTTCAGCGTATTTCAGAGCGTTTCAGCGTATTTCAGAGCATTTCAGCGTATTTCAGAGCGTTTCAGTGTATTTCATCTAGGGTTGTCAAAAGTATCGACATTCAAAAAAGTATGGATACTGAAAAGTTGTATCCGGATACAATACTCATTTTCAAAAGTATCGATACATTGCCCCCACCAGTGGCACCTAAACAGTCATTCATCTTATACGCAGATTAGAGGAAAATGCACTTTCTGAACACTGCGATTGAATAATTCTGTGCACTTTTCGGTTTATGACTTTTTTCTGTAACAGGTGCAGCTGCTGAGAATTATCTTGGTTTTTTAACCGGTTTGGCTAGTGTCATTGTTATGTGTGCAAAGCATAGCCAAGGAAAGAACACTTAATTTTAATTTTGTAAGTTTTTTATCAAGCTTGGTTAATATTGTGCACAGCATACAACCTCAAAATATTGTTTATTGTGTTTATTTATCTAATCATTGTATTTTGTTAATTAATGAAAACATTTCTGTTGAATTTTGGGCCCCGTCCACAGGAAGACGAACCCTGGCCTAAACGCACAAATTTTTCACCAAACCAGCCTCTCATCCACACGGCGGCGTTTCTGGGGTCTGTAAACGATCTTTTTTTTATTCAGCCTTCAGAGTGGGAAGATTTCGAAACGCCGTTTTCGCGTTTCCATCTTTACGCTCTAACCGCATATTTTTTTTTACACGCATGCGTCATAGCGTCGCCTCTAAACACGCATGCGCGACCAGTATCACAACAACAATGGCGCCGTTGCTGCTAATGCTACTGACCCTGCTGTCGGGCTTACAACAGAATCTTCTTCTTCTGGAATATCTCCAGGAAGAACAGAGCAATATAGACGACATAGTTCAGCACCTGAATTTGACTGAACCACGAAAATGGACCCGCAGGGCAACCATGTATAAATATGCCCAACATTTCGTCGCTTTTTTTTGCTTTGGCACCACAGCGCCACTTACAGGCCTGGCATACATTTTGCAGCGTTTTCATGCATTCGTGTGGTCGATCAGATTTATTTTACGTCTCCGTCTTTACGGCAAACGTTTTGGAAAATATCAGCGTTTCGTGTTCGTTTTGACTTCGTGTGGACGGGGCCTTGGAGTCTTTGTTTTTATCCTTGTGGTATCGAAAACGACATCGAATATCGAATATTTTACTTAGTATCGGTATCGAGTTGAAACGTTTTTCAGAGCGTTTTAGTGTATTTCAGCGTATTTCAGAGAGTTTCAGTGTATTTAGTGTGTTTCAGTGTATATCAGAGCATTTAAGTGTATTTCAGCGCTTTTCAGTGCATTTAGTGTGTTTCAGGGTTTTTTTAGACCGTTTTTGTGTATTTCAGCGTGTTTCAGAGCGTTTCATCGTATTTCAGCGCGTTTCAGCCTGTTTCAGTGTGTTTAGTGTGTTTCAGTGTTTTTCACACCGTTTTTGTGTATTTCAGCGTGTTTCAGAGCGTTTCATCGTTTTTCAGAGCGTTTCAGCATATTTCAGCGCGTTTCAGTGTGTTTAGTGTGTTTCAGTGTTTTTCACACCGTTTTTGTGTATTTCAGCGTGTTTCAGCGTATTTCAGCACGTTTCAGCCTTTTCAGCCTATTTCAGTGTTTAGTGTGTTTCAGTGTTTTTCACACCGTTTTTGTGTATTTCAGCGTGTTTCAGCGTATTTCAGCACGTTTCAGCGTTTTCAGCCTATTTCAGTGTTTAGTGTGTTTCAGTGTTTTTCACACCGTTTTTGTGTATTTCAGCGTGTTTCAGCGTATTTCAGCACGTTTCAGCGTTTTCAGCCTATTTCAGTGTTTAGTGTGTTTCAGTGTTTTTCACACCGTTTTTGTGTATTTCAGCGTGTTTCAGTGCGTTTCATCGTATTTCAGAGACTTTCAGCGTATTTCAGAGCGTTTCAGCGTGTTTCAGTGTGTTTAGTGTGTTTCAGTGTTTTTCACACCATTTTTTTGTATTTCAGCGTGTTTCAGAGCGTTTCAGCGTATTTCAGCGCGTTTCAGGGTTTTCAGCCTATTTCAGTGTTTTTCACACCGTTTTTGTGTATTTCAGCGTCTTTCAGTGCGTTTCATCGTATTTCAGAGAGTTTCAGCGTATTTCAGAGCGTTTCAGCGTATTTCAGCGTGTTTAGTGTGTTTCAGTGTTTTTCACACCGTTTTTGTGTATTTCAGCGTATTTCAGAGAGTTTCAGCGTATTTCAGAGCGTTTCAGCGTATTTCAGCCTGTTTCAGTGTGTTTAGTGTGTTTCAGTGTTTTTCACACCGTTTTTGTGTATTTCAGCGTGTTTCAGTGCGTTTCATCATATTTCAGAGCGTTTCAGTGTATTTCAGCGTGTTTCAGCGCGTTTCACCGTATTTCAGCATGTTTCAGCGCATTTCAGCGTGTTTCAGTGCGTTTCAGTGTTTTTAGTGTGTTTTAGCCCATTTCTGCTCGTTTCAGTGTATTTCAGCACGTTACAGCGCGTTTCAGTGAAGAATCCAGAAATGAAATGTAACAAAACTTCTTAATAAAAAGAAAAAAAGGTTTCGAGAGGAATTCTGCTATTCCCTTAGAAACAACGAAACTTGTAAAACCCAAAATAAAAAAAAAAACAAATTGTGAAAAAAAAAATAGTTTGAAAACATAAAAATAAGCAAAAAGATATATATAAAAAATAGTGGGACAAAATTAGCTCCATATTGATAGCCATCCTGCAGCCTAATTTCCGTGTTTATTTTCTCTCATGCAGTGATGCCAAAGAAGCGTTGCCATGGCAACTAATGGATGCGATCTGGGTTATTCTCCCTAAATCAAACCATCGATTGACTTGATTATAGCGACACTCTAATCCTTTGATGGCGAATCAGAGCAGTTCTGCTCATTTTATAACATCACAGGTGAAATGATTGATCGATCATAATCATAAGCCAACGTACCATTATTGCGCAGAAGTGTGGCCAAGCTGTGCACCAGGGAGGACTGACCTGCGTGAGCCACAGCCATCCTGAAACACATCCAAACAAAATGATCACGACTACAACTCCCAGAACAACCACAACAAACCTGCTGTTTATCGATTTCATAAAGTGCGGCTAACAGTCATGCTAGCAGAGCTAGCTCTGTTTCTCTCCGGCCTTAAATCTTTAAATAATTCAGACTTCTTCCAGTGCTGCTAACACTGGTAGCTTCTTGGCTCTCTTCGTCCCGGAACATAAGCTAAACAGCTTACCTGCGCAGTGACAGCTGGGAAACAAAAAGCTAACATCCGGTTCTCACGCCGTAGAGTGGATAAAAATTCATTTTATTTTAATTAAACACCAGAAAAGGCCTGGAAACAAAGGTTTATTTCCCCCTGTTTCACAGCACAGAGCTGAGTGTTGTTGACATTTTGTTTTTCCCGTCACATGACGCGGTGTCTTCCACAGCTTCTACGGTGGCCCCAATGGAACAAAAAGCTTCTTCCTCTTTTCTGTTTTATTGGCAGATGGCAACCAACTTAAGGTGCATTTACCGCCACCTAGCAGACTGGAGTGTGATCGTCAATTATGTCAAAGGGAATTTAATAATACATACCTCAATGTATTTATTATACAGCAATTTTATTATTATTATTATTATTATTATTATTATTATTATTATTATTATTATTATTATTATTATTATTATTATTATTATTATTATTATTATATAATAAACTATTTTATTATTATTATAATAAAATTGTTACAATAATAATAAATTATCATTTTAATATTATAATTTTTTTGCACAAATCTGCATATCAATCTATATCCATACATACACTCACATATAAATTAGTATGTGTGTATATATAAATGTATACACAAAATTATATATATACTTTAAATGTGATTAAATAATCCAGTATTTTTAAAAAATCTAATTAACTGATCTCCGACAGAATTTGATTTTACCATAAAAAAAATCCTATTTTTTCTCCATTTAGTATTGATTTAAGGGCTGTTGTTCTTCTGAATGCTTAAAACATTCTAATAACACACGTTCCACTGTTTTGATCTGACTACAATGATTAAAAGTTCCTGTTTCATGTTTCTTTATTCTGAAAAGAGAACTATTAAGTCCGGCATGACCAACTCTAAGTCGAGATATGACTACCTCTTCTTTCCGCCTTCCATTCATACAACTATTACCCCCCCACAGTCTTTTTAATTTTATGTAGATCTCTTCCAATGTCATGATTATCCCATTGCTCCTGCCAAACCTTACAGATTTTATTTTAAATTATAGATTTATAGATTATGGATTCACTTTTAATTAAAGGAATACTTATATTCATAATATCTGATTTGAAGGCCTGTTTAGCTAGTATATCTACTTCCTAATTTTACTTAAATGCCTACATGAGCAGGAATCCAGACAAATCAAATAAAACATTTCTTATTACCACGCTGAATTGATAAGTGATATTTATCTATGTATCAGACTTGATACTTAATAATGTATCTTGACTATCTGATGGATTTATGGAATTATTATTATGAACTATTTTCTTCCCTAACATTATCATCAAGCAACTGTTCTAAAGCTAACATAATGGCAATTAATTCAACTGTAAAAACTGCTGTAGTAAAACCGTCATGGTTTTGTGATGATTTATTTATCAAATAAGTAATAAGAATTTTTAAGGCATTATTTAAATCAATAGTTATGTCTTAAGTAAGGTAGACAATTATTTTAATACTAATTCTTTTCAATTAATTGGGTCTAAAATTTAAAGTTAACTGAAATAATTAGTTGAGAGAATTTATTTGAGGCAATGTCCACCATCAGTAGTCATAGTCTAAACAATATGCAAAAAAGGGGAAAAAACAACATATATATAAATGTATTAGTATAAACTCAATGCCGCGTTAAATATATACATTTTTATAGTAAAAGTAACAAAAAGAAGCACAATTTCCAGTTGAATATTGATAAATGGAGTGTTTGAGAAGGGGTATGAACAAATAAAGCAATCGTTCACACCCCTTTTCTCCTTTATTCAATAATACAATTCAAAAATAGATTATTAATTCTAAAGGACAATAAAATGTTGAAGTAACTAATTAGTCTTGCACTAGATCTGGAGAACCTCTGACTGAAGACAATCTGCTGTTTATTTAATCTTCTAAATGTGATGCTCAGTGTTTTCCATAATATTCTTGCCTTTATAATGTATTCTTCTTTGTGATATAAGCTCCAGAGGTTCTAGAGGAGATTCTAGAACAGACCCCGCCTTTTTTATAAGCTTGTTGAGCTTTTTAAGACATTAGCTCTGCTCTGATCATGTTGCTCCATCAGGTGATGGAGGAAAAGATCACACTCTATACAATAGTCTTACATTCTTGTACTTAAGAAGTCTGGAGTTGCCATTGTGTCTTAGTTAAGCTGGATCCTGGTCGCTTCTGAATGTCCAATCCATCTCGAATATAATGCTTTGATTGTTTTTTTTGGCCGAACTCGTTTAACATGGATGTCCTCAATGTTGCATCCACAGAACAGTGCAGGAACTTCTGATCCGAAGTAAATTCAGCAAAATAGGCTGCAGGCTTAGCTGCATCCGTGCTGAACTACTGAGGCATCAGTCTGCTTATCAAATTATGCCTTAGACTTAGACAGATTTTATTTTGTCATTTTGTACACAAGTGTAAACAAAAAGAAAATGTTGTTTATTTAATGTCCTACAAAATGTAATCAAATTTTTTTTTATTTAAGTTTAGTCATAAATATCAGATAAAAAGGCTAATTTAAATATATTTTTCAGTAAAAACTTACATATCTCTTTAACTAAACCATATAAAAAACAGCTTCTTTTTTTTTTAAAAGGAATATATCTCTTAATTTCTACAACTTTATTTCTAAACAGATCCATATCAGCAGGAAAGAAAGTTTCCTTCTTTGCGTGTGCATCTGTTGCTTGGCTGCAAACAAACACTTGGGCATAAATGCACGCTTTTCCATTTGGGACTTGTGAAGTGAACATTTCCATGTAAGGATTTACAGTATGCTCTGCAATTTGGTAAACATTTCCATCCAGCGAGTTGCAGCACAATGAATTCACTTAAAGTAGGTTTGGGCTTTGCTGGTTTGCCATGCAAAAACGTGCTCTGACAGCTAGTTAGTCATAAACTGAGAGCTTCCAGCTGTTTGTGAGTCTTAATCGTGTCTGCCACTAATCAAATAATATGCATAACTTTAATTCTGCCTGCACCACCAAAATGTAATTGTGAACTTACAGTATTCTTCATCAAGATGTTAAAGTGTGAGCACATTAGTGTTTGTAGGAAAACACTTTATAGCTTCCTATGGTGTGAAATGTAGCTCCTTTTAGCAGCATAACAATAGCATAGTTTCCATCCATCCATTTTCCATCACGCTTATCACAGCTGGGGTCGCAAAGTTTTGTAAGGATATAAAAAAACTGTATTTTTGTCTCTTTGAATGCCTGCTAAGAAGTTAATGTAAAAGTAAGTCAAGTATAATTTGCCTTTAGAAAGATGCAATATGTTTCAGTCAAATGTTTTTACCCTATATCAAAGCATCTATTAGATGCTAATTATGTGGACGTCCTGAATAAGTCCTCATTTAGAAATACCTTATTTGTGGTGTGCTTCCATGGCGCAGTGGTTAGTGCGCACTTTACATGTACAGAAGCCTTAGTCCTGAATGTGACGGACCCGGGTTAGAGTCTGACCTGTGGTCCTTTGCCTTTCCTATCAGCCTACTTTGCAATAACAAGCCACAAGTGCCGCAAAAACCTAAAAGAAATACTTTATTTTTGAAATCACAGTATTTTTTAACCATATCTATAGATGTGTTAAAAAACTAACAGCATATCCATCTTTATAAAGCTTATAGTAGGTCAGATTATCCTGAGCTATCTCTATAGTTATGCTGCTATAGGCTTAGACTGATGGAGGACATAGGGACCACTTTTCCTCACTTGGCTTTATTCTACTTCTGTTCTCCAACCTTCACAAAGAAGGAAGAATAGAACATTTAAAGCTATAGTTGGTAATCCTGTTATATTGAGTGAAATTGTCATGTATTTACAAAAGGGAACAAAAACAAACAAACATCCATGAGAGCTGGAAGCCTCTAAAAACTCTGACCAATCCCTGCCATTCGGTCTGAATAAAAAAACAACAACAATCAGATGCCTTCATAGGCATCCCGTCTTTCTCTGCCCTGCACTAAAGGATGTTATGATCAAAAAGTGGAGGGAGTTATGCGAAATATTTCTAACATGATAGAAAGAGACATTCAAGCAACCAACATGGTAGGCTTTTTGATGTTAATACACTTCAAGTAGCCAAGTTTTAGCATTCCTCTAATAGCAACCATAACCACCCGTTTAAAGGTGCTGCTTGCAGACCAAAGTCTCTCCCTGCAGATTGTTGGATTACACCACAAAGAAATCTATATACCGGTAACAGTAAGTGTCCATGTAACAATTAGTCTCACAGAATGTCAGAGTGAAGCACTCTGTCTTATAAAGATAGTTTAACATCTTTGTAAATCAGAAATCAGGATTTCTGATTTAGTAGGATTTTTTTTTTCTTTTAGGGAAGACTTTTCAGACTCTTATCATTACAAGGCCCTGTTTTTAAATGAATAAACTGTTAAATGACCACTAGACTTTTGCTTAATGCACCCAATCCTATAAACAGCACCAAAAAAACTCAATAGCAAAAAAAAAGTGGAGTGAAATTTGAAGAAACGATTGGTGAGTTTTTTATATCACATATCTTTGCTACTCAATGCCACAAAAAATAAATTCCTTATAAATATGGAATTTATTGGGGAATAAACAGCCTTTCCAAGAGCATTGCTGGAAGGATTTTAGCAGAAGTGGGGACTCTAGTCACATTATTTGGACTCAAGTCAGACCCTAATCATTAATTTTATTACTGTAGACTTGACTTCAAAAAAATTTCAGAGACTTGTGTCTTGACTCTGACTTTTACATAACTGACACAGGACCTGAATTGGACTTGAACCTGTTAATTGGAAAAGACTTATAATTATCCAAAATCAAAAGTTAGAACACGTATTATTTAAAAGAAGTGTGCAACATTAATGCATGGTACTCATCCTGTATTATCAAACCCAAACCATCTCTCTGTCTTTCTACTTTGCACAGACGTGTGTTTGAACTGCAGCACAGCCAGACAAATTAATTAGTTTAAAAATGCTCCCAAGATGAGGAAAAGTGGTCACTATGTCCTCCAGCAGCCTATGCCTATAGCAGCATAGAGAAAAAACTAAATAAAGGTCTAATATTGTTTTTTTTTATTATTATACGTGTTTCCTTGTAACCAAATGGATTTGCTCCGCATATCCATCTGGAAACCTTCGGTTGAAGTAATTTTGGGAAGGGGCGAAAATACTGGTTAGCTGATTGGCCTA